CAAACACAGACTCATCCATCAGACTGCCATCAGAGAAGTGTGATTTGTCTCTCCTCAGAACTCATTTTCACTGCTCCAGAGTCCAGTGGCAGCGTGCTGTACACCACTGCATCTGACACTGTGCTTGCTGATGTGAGGCTTGCATGCAGATGCTCGGCCATGGAAGCCCATTCTATGAAGCTCCTAGCGAATGGTTTTGTACTGGGGTTAATGCCAGAGGAAGTTACTGGGTTAACAGAGCGCTGGTGACTATTTGCCTCAGCACTGCAGGACCCTCTGCTACTTCACACGGTCTTGCACTTTGGGGCTCAGTTTCTGTTCTTCCTAAACGTTTCCACTTTATAATAAAACCACTTACAGTTGACCGTGGAATATCTAGAAGGGAAGAAATTTCACAAACTGACTAATTGCAAATTGTACCATTCTATGACAGTACCATTCCTGAATTCACTGAGCCTGTCAGAACGACCCACTCTTTACAAATGTTTGAAAACCTGACTGCATGGCTGGGTCATTGATTTTATACACCTGTGGCAATGGGTCTGAATGAAACACATGAATTCAATAATTAAAAGGTGTGTCCCAATTCTTTTGTCCATATAGTGTATCAAGGGTCACGTGTCATCAGTCAGCACCCTCCTGGCTCCGCAGACCTACTAAGCCCCCCAACACTAAGCCCCCCAACACTAAGCCACCCAACACTAAGCCCCCCAACAGGCACAACTGAATTTGAACCTGCAGCAAAATGGCATTTCTGTGCAAAGAGCATCAGTTACAATCTCAGCTTAATCATCACTCGTATCATTTATTTATTTCTCCTGAGGCAAAAAATTGCCATGAAAATCTGCACCATGAATGAACAGAACCAGGCATGTGGGGGGCTGCCTCGGGTGTAACCCTATCCCCCGCCGTCACGAGTCTGTCCACAGCCACCCCCCCCCAGCTGCACCCCCACTCAGGCACGTCAACCTTATTATAGGAGAAATAAGTCGATAAATAAATGATTTGTGGAGGAGAGGAGGAGACTATGGGCAGGAGCAAGTGGCAGTGGCAAGGTGTGGCGTCTCCATGGCAACCAGGAAATGGAGCAGATGAAAGCAGAGGGTGCGTCTGTGTGGGCAAATAGGGAAATTCAGGATGCCAACCCCCCCACATGCCCAGGCGGGCTGATAGCACTCCGTTATGAAAACCTAATGACCCCCCGTCCCCCTCCCATAACCCATGCTTCCATTATGCTATTTCATCAGCTGGGGGCTGCCTGGCCAGGTCTCAGTGCCCCAATCTGGTCTATAGCGGCGAGGGTCTGCTGGTTCACAGCTCACAGACACAAAGACACACAGACAAAAAGACACACAGACACAGACACACACACAAACACACACAGACACAGGTCACACACAAACACAAAGACACACACACACAGGTTACACAGACACACTCTCTGTCACACACACACAGACACACTCACACACAGACACAAAGACACACACAGACCCAAAGACACACTCTCACACACACACACACACACACACAAACACGCACACATGCACATGCAAACTCACACATAGGTACACACAGACATACACACAAACACACACACACACACAGGTCACACAAAGGCACACTCTCTCACACTCACACACACACACACAAACACACACACACAGACAGGTCACACACAGACACAAACACAAAGACACACACACAGGTCACACAAAGGCACACTCTCTCACACTCACACACACACACAGACACACAAACACACACACATGCACATGCAAACTCACACATAGGTACACACAGACATACACACAAACACACATGCACAGACAGGTCACACACAGACACACACACAAACACACACACACAGGTCACACAAAGGCACACTCTCTCACACACACACACACACACAAACACACACACATGCACAGACAGGTCACACACAGACACACACACAAACACACACACAGGTCACACAAAGGCACACTCTCTCACACTCTCTCACACACACACACAAACACACACACATGCACATGCAAACTCACACATAAGTACACATAGACACAGACACAGAGACACACACAAACACATCGGCTCCTGACTGTGGCTTATTATGCCCTGTGATGGACTGGCATCCCATCCAGGGTGTCCCCTGTCCTGTGTCCTGTGATGGACTGGCATCCCATCCAGGGTGTGCCCTGCCCTGTGCTGCCTGGGTCAAATTCCAGGTTCCAGACTCACTGTGACTCGGTACTGAATTAGAGGTTAGAAGAAGCACAGATGAATCGATAAGGTGACAATATCAGTATGTTCTCCTTACTCTCCAATGGAAACTTGTACAAGCGTTACAGTTACATTTCAGTCAGTATCGATTTACACTTAAGTACCAAGTTACCATGCAATTAATAAGTCCGCTGTCGCCGCTACCATGTGAAGACTTAGCTAAGTGCACTGCATTCTTCCTGCCATGTAGTGCCTGGATGAACCACAGCGAAATAATGTAGAAAATACGACATGGGGTCAAAATTCACAGCATATTCTGATTGTCTTTTTCACCCAGCAATCTTTAGGACTGCCCATGTTTGCCAGCGTAAACAAGCACAGCGCAGATCCGTCGGCAGGTCCGACGTAGCACTCCAGCAGGTTTATGTCGCATTATGCATTATGCTTTCAGAATTGCATCATAACTCGTGTAAATGATTTTAATATAAGAAAGTTTGATTGTGTTGATTGCAATGTGGACGTGGGTCATTATACAGTGAGAATCAGCACTTTCTGAGTCCCAAAGCCCTCAAAGTGGGTGCCGAACCTCTCCAAGGTCTCGAAGCGCCAGCCGTAAAGGACACTGAATTACAGAGATCGTTTGCTGTTCGTTACAGGGAATGACTAGTGACATTTGGCTGGTGTTAATTAATTACATGGCTCATTTGGTTTTTATTGGGATTATTCCTATAGTCTTTACTTGCTTTTATTTACAATGGCTTTCCTGAAATGGCCTTTTTACGTTTTGCCTGTAGAGAGTGAAACACAGAGGGAGAGAGAGACCCCAAGCTTTTAATGAGAATCACATTAAAATGTGTCAAAATTAGACTAATCCAGAAACAGGCAACTCCAACCCACACAGAAACATACACTATATAAGCCACACAGACCCAGCGCTCAGATGAAAACACACACCTGACACTCAGATAAAACACACACCTGAAACTCAGACGAAAACACACCCGGTACTAAGACAAAAACACACACCTGACAGACGAAAACACACCCGGTACTAAGACAAAAACACACACCTGACAGACTAAAACATACACCTGACAATCAGACGAAAACACACCCGGTACTAAGACAAAAACACACACCTGACACTCAGACGAAAACACACCCCCGGTAGTTAGACGAAAACACACACCTGACACTCAGACGAAAATACACCCCCGGTAGTCAGACGAAAACACACACGTGACACTCAGACAAAAACACACACCCGACACTCAGACAAAAACACACACCCGACACTCAGATGAAAACACACACCTGACTTAAATATATACAAACAAACAGAGCCACAAACACACCCCTGACTTAAATATATACAAACAAA